TTATTTAAACGAAGTGACACCACGATTGCACACTGCCATGCACGACTCACGCAATTTCCGTTGCTAAGCTGTGTATTCAGAGGCATTACACACGCTTCACTGCAGACCTCGAAGATTCCAGTCGTCAACGAGAGCACAGAAACGTCGCCTTAAACTTTATCCTAGCGATGATGTACAGGGGGAACAGCGCACCCGGAGAACAGTGATTCAAGTCAACATACACAAAAAAGAAAGAAACTTACTCAGCGGTGACTGACAACTCTCTCTATATTTACACTTTCTCTTCTTCTGTTTGTGCTGTATGCAAGGGCCAGGGAGAATAACTGGTATTTTTTCTTTTCTTTCGATATGATGCTAAATAGTGAACTAAATTGAAACTAATGTAAGACTAGGTAGTCTAATACTTTTTGTGACAAGGTTAAAGACGGAGTACTGACACATGTGCCGTTATGTTTCGCAATGCTCTCTGCCTCGATAATTTCTCTTGTGAGCTGGTTGTGGTGCTTGCCAAGCACGCCGCAGTTACTCAGCAGCACTGGGCAGCCACAGTCTCGACAGAGTGCCTAGATGACCGGAGCTTTTGTTGGTGAAAGTGTTGTTATGTTCACGGAGGCGATCGTTCAGACACCTTCCGGTCTGACCTGTGTACAGCTTTCCACAAGAGGGGAGAAAGGAGTACACCACCTTCTCTGTGCAAGGGACAAAGGTGTTCTTGTGCTTTTTTTTGGAGCCAACTGTCGTTATCGGTGGAGTATTTACCTTCTTGCATAAGCTGTGAAGTGTGTTAGGAGCTGAGAAGATGACTTCCAAGTTTACTCGGTTGGTTATTTTCTTCGGTCCGTGAGAAAAATTATGAATATATGGCACAATGATGGGCTTCTTTGGTTTGTCTCTTTGCTTTTGTTGAGTGCATAGGTCTTGCCTGCTTTCGTTGATGAGCGTTTCGGCCACTGATGTTAATAACGAGTTTGGGTATCCTGCGCCCTTTAGCCTTGAGACTTGCCCGTCAAAGCTCGCTGGAATGGAATGCGAGCAGGACTTTATGAGTGAGGTTTTGAGGCATAACCGCACGATTCTTCTTTTAACAAGTTTTGAATGGCCCGAGCTGAATTGTAAGAGCGTTTTTTTTTCCCCTGGGCTCATACGACCAGCATAAATGGTAGGGTAACATGAAGAGTCTGAGATCCAGGAATCTTAAAGAGCGCTCGTTTGGAAGTTCATGGGTGATTTCCAAAAGACTGATGCAGAATTTAAAACTGTGGTGGACGTCAGCAACCATGCTGGTGAAGTTGCGATCGTCAGAAGCTAGAACAATTAAAGAATCGTCGACGTACTGGAACACTCTTATAACTTTGGAGGTGCCTAATGATTGTTTTAGCTTCCTGTCGTTGTGCGCTAGATAGAGATCGCTAAGGACAGGGGCAATGCAGGACCCAATGCAGACAACTCTCTTCTGTAGGCATGGTTGTCAATCCCAGGTAGCAAAGGTCGACCTGAGGTAGATGTTAATCAAGGTCAAAAACTTGCTTTGGGATAAGCCCGACGCATTTTGAAAGGCAATAGCACCGAAGGTGTCTATGCTGTCCTCTATGTACCTTAGGAGGCGGTCATGGGGCAAGGAATAGTACAGATCCTTAATGTCGATGGAGAACACTTTTAGGTCTTGGTCACGATGCTCTTCTAAAAAGTTGAAAACTTCAGAGGAGCTGCGGATCAGGTATGGATCATCAATGTCAAGTAGGTTTAGCCGTGTTTGCAGAAATAAGGCAACAGACTTTTGCCATGCTCCCCTTTCAGAAACGATAACCTGGAGGGGCGTAATCCGCTTTGTGAGTTTGGCGCTGAAAAATAACTCTAGACTCAGATTTTTACTGCAATCGATGTAGGAGCAGAGTTGTTTTAAATCGTTCAAGTGACAAAATTGTTTTGCTTCCGTTTTAACTTTTTCCAGGGAGATCTCAGAGTGCTTGCTGAAAACGGATTGGACTGCTGATAATACTTTTTCTCCAAACGTGTCCGTATGCATGAGGACAAAACCTCCTTCTTTGTCAGCGGGCAGAAGATATATTGAATTCTCTTTCAGGTACGTTTCTACTCTCTTGATGGGCAGAGGAGTAGATGGTGGTTTGTACCGGATAAGCATGTCTACACCTTCAGAGATGCAGCGATCCATTTCGGTCTCCGGAGCTCGTCTCGAGACTGCCCTCACAAGGGAAAGTAACTCCGGTGCCGTATTCTTGGGTTCCACCGCAAACTTAGGGCCCAGACTGAGAACTTCCTGTACTGCGTTTGGTATGTGGATGTCTCCTATTGTGCATACGGGGTTATTGAACGCCTGTTCTCCCCTTGGTCTGTTCTTACGGAGATGCCACAAAGTGAGTCTCCACAGATGGTCGGTCGTTCTCTCTGTGAGGGAGGCGATTTCTCGTCTGGCCCTTCTGCTGAAGGGATTTGTCGGGTTTGTACGCAGCTGCACAAATAGGTAGTTCCGGTAGTGCCATGTTTGACGATGCCACTCGGCTTGAAGGATTTTGCAAAGTCGCTTTCTATGACCTACGGATGGTGTGAAGTTTCCGAATAAGGCCTTTGGAAATCACCCATGAACTTCCAAACGAGTGCTCTTTAAGAGTCCTGGAACTCAGACTCTTCATGTTACCCTACCATTCATGCTGGTCGTATGAGCCCAGGGGAAAAAAACTGCTATTACCATTCAACTCGGGCCATTCAAAACCTGTTCAAAGAAGCATCGTGCGGTTATGCCTCAAAAACTCACTCCTAAAGTCCTGCTCGCATTCCATTCCAGCGAGCTTTGACGGGCAAGTCTCAAGAATAAAGCGCGCAGGATACCCAAACTCGTTATTAACATCCGTGGCCGAAAAGCTCATCAACGAAAGCAGGCAGGACCTATGCACTCAACAAAAGCAAAGAGACAAAACAAGGAAACCTATCATTGTGCCATATATTCATAATTTTTCTCACGGACCGAAGAAAATAGCTAACCGAGTAAACTTGGAAGTCATCTTCTCAGCTCCTAACAAACTTCACAGCTTATGCAAGAAGGTAAATACTCCACCAATAACAACAGTTGGCGGCAAAAAGAAGCACAAGAACACCTTTGTCCCTTGCAGAGAGAAGGTGGTGTACTCCTTTCCCCTCTCGTGTGGAAATCTGTACATAGGTCAGACCGGAAGGTGTGTGAACGATCGCCTCCGTGAGCATAACAACACATTCACAAACAAAAGCTCCGGTCATCTAGGCATTCACTGTCGAGACTGTGGCTGCTTAGTGCTGCTGAATAACTGCGGCGTGCTTGGCAAGCACCGCAACCAGCTCACAAGAGAAATTATCGAGGCAGGGAACATTGCGAAACATAACGGCACATGTGTTAGTACTCCGTCTTTAACCTTGTCACAAAAAGAATTAGACTACCTAGCCTTACATTAATTTCAATTTATTTCACTATTTAGCATCATATCGAAAGAAAAGAAAAAAGACCAGTTATTCTCCCTGGCCCTTGCAATTGCACAGATAGAAGAAGAGAAAGTGTAAATATAGAGAGAGTTGTCAGTCAGCGCTGAGTAAGTGTCCCTTTCTTTTGTGTGTGTGTTGACTTGAATGACTGTTCTCCGGGCGCGCTGCTCCCCCTGTACTTTATGAGCAACCAACTCGTCTGAACCCCTTTCTTATCCTAGCGATATCCGAATCAATGCGAAATCCGCGCCACTGGGGTCCGACAAACGCTGGGCCGGTGGTCTCTTTCATGGCCATATTCCCGTCGGTCACCAGCGAAATGCACACCGTTTTTCTGTATTTTCACGTTATACCTACCTGAGACACCACGCTGAGCTCTGAACTAGCCCTCGACCGTCCACAAATGACGGCGTCGCGTCTGAAATGAACTTGCCGACACGAACGACAACCAAGAAAGCATCCGACAAGCTCCGACCCAGCTGGGGCCAGCCGCTGCCTGGGCGCTGGCATCTTCCCTGTGACGTCACGTATTTCGTTTGGTCACGTGACGAGTGGTCACATTTGCGTACATTGGCAGCGGCCTTATGGGGGTCACTTTCGAGTGCAGTCCGGAACCCCGGTTTATCGCTCTATGCCCGTCTTCCTCGTTGGATTTTTTCAACAACTACAACAACTACAAATATCAACCTTGGTCGAACGTGTATGTCACAAAATAAAGTTTCCGCGAACAACTTCTCGAACTAAATAACTACGATGTGAGACACATTTTGAAGTATGAAAGAAGAAATTAAATCGAAAATATAGGTTAGTTTCGGTTTCGCTCCACAGTTAAATCGCGCATCCTAGCGTAAATATTTTGCTAAACATCGTTCTTGTTTTAGGGGTGAAGAGGTGGCCTGCGCTAATAACACCCTAGCTTCCTCCTATTACCAGAAATAATTTGTGTCGCTCACCGGCTCAGCAGCAGCACGCATCTCCGACCCTCACTATATATAGTAGGAGACGCAAATAAAAATCTGTGTATAACAAAAAAAACACAAAAAACGCTCATTTTTTATTTTCTTATATTTCTGTTCCACGCAATAGCTGAATTTGAAACTTGAACATGGACGCGAACTTTATTACAAGAAATGATGCTTAGGACACCATACTAAAAGCTTCTAACATAACGGATTTTGTTCAGTGTACCATGCAGCCGTCGCGTTTGGTGATGATGATTGTTTACTTTTTTTTGATGGCCTGCTTTGTGTTGAGTACCATTTTACATAGTTTGAGGGTCTTATGCTGTTTTAAGAAAAGTAAGAATATATGGTCTTTGGATGAATTGATCGCAACCTAGCGTAACTTTTAGAAATCGAATAACCCGAATTCCTCAAAAAATAAAAAGCCAAACTTGCCAAAATAGCTGGCTGATTCCTGCATGAATGCCTATAAGCTTAAATTCGCGCTGATATTCATATTATAAAACAACAAGAATAGCATTAGTGGCACGTGTCTATTTTATTGAAGACCTCTGTTTCAAAAAATGTTCAGTATCTGTCGTACTCATGTCCATGGCCATTGTAATAGTTGTTGTAATAGCGTCGTGGTGGCTGCGTGTAGTAGTAATAGGGCGTTTGCGTGTGAAAGAACACGATCGGCGACTTCTTGTGGTGGTGCTTGGAATATTGCTTTTGGGATTTCTTGAGGCTCTTTTGTAACTTCTTCAGCCATTTGTGTCCACAGTCGTGGTGGTTTTGATGGTGCTCTCTTACAATGACATGCTTCACCTTCGGCGGAGGCTCCTTGACCAGCACATGCACGGGGTCATTGTGCACTTTCTCTTCCTTGATTATCACCCGCTCCTTGATCAGTTGCTTGTCGCCGTAGCCATCCTGCTTCAGATCCCCGTGGCCCCACTCCAAGCCTCCTCCGTTCTCGGGGTGCTGGTGATGCACCGGTAATGGCCTGGCGTGGTGGTGCGACGGAGCCGGGTGGTGATATGCCGGCCGCACTATGGTGTGGAGAGCTGGGTGGTTGTGGTGGTGGGCGGGTATATGCTTGGATGATCTGACGATGATCACGTCCTTGCCATCCGCCGCCACCAGTCCTGAAGACGTAAAACAAAATGTTGCATGTAAACGCCGTTATACGCGATAACATTTTTTTTCTCACAATCATTTATTGATGAGCGAAAAATAATTATTTTCCTTACACTTCAATTAACTCCCCAACGTTTTATAGCGTGGGAAACTTCAGTTTTAAATAACCAATACTAAAACAATCACATTGGTAAATTTCGAAGAAAAAATGAAACTTGAAAACATTTAAATGTTTTGAAGCGAACCAAGGCAATGTTTACGAGAGAAAACAGAGTGCCTTAGGCCAGGGAGAAGTATCGCAAATCAGAACTACACCTGGTGACAATATTGGTCACGTTTGGTTATCTTTGCTATTTCGTTGATTAGAGTAAATATAACACATGCCTATAGATGAACAGTTTTTTTTTAGTAACGCCGCGCAAAATGCTATAATCAATTGTGGACACCGGCCTCACAATCTTATGCGCATAACATTTGAAGCCAGGGATCATTAAGTTGCATCTTCGCGGATGTCGAAAACGCGTTCACTAAACTTATTCGATTCAATGCTTATGTATGTTTAGCTCCATTGCAGCGGCCGGTTGCACCCAGATACCTCTTTGATTTATGTCAGCATCCAAAGCTATCGTACTTTGTCGTACCTCGACTAATGGGCGGTTTATTAAGAACTGATTGGTAACGTTGATGGAACTATTTTGAGACCAGACTCCAAATTACCTCGGTAACTTAACCCCGCAACGCTGGGCTACTGTGGTAACTTACAGTCATATCTCGACGAAAGCTCCAACAAAAACACCGAACATGGTGAAATATAGGAAGTATTATTCAGACGTCATCGAACGGTAGTGCGGGAATGAATCCTGAACTTAAGCTGCCGATACCTAGCCAAGCATAGCCAAACTATAATGCGCGAACGGGTTTTATGGTTCACAATGATACACATTCAAATAACTGCAACGAGCTAAATTATCTTTATGTTGCATGTTTAATCTTATGGTAACTGAAACACAATAAAACAACTCACAAAACACGGAGGAAAAGAAACGGAGATAAGTGCTGTGCGCTGTTTTATCATGTTTAAGTACCAACGAGCTCAAATTACTACTTTATATGTAATAAGATTCTAAACTCTTAGAATATCTTTTGGATATTTTGGCCATGAATTATTTCCGATCACTCGGAAATTATCCATGGTTAACGAGCGAATTACAGCGTTCAATTCTTTGCAAAAACAATGTGTCTAAAAGCCGTAAACTCGATCGACATATACAACCGTTGCCTTCGATCTGTATACAAATCGTTTTTTTTCTTGTTTTTTTTTATGAAATGAAATAGCTTGTCGCAGTTCAACAGCAGTACTTCTATAACAATCCCTTATCGGTTGTGAAAATTTCACCGACACAACTAATATAATTAACTCTGCATTAAACGAGAGAGTTAATCATCAAACCGTATCAGTATTAAACACAAAGCGAGTTATAGTTACACAGTTGCACCGACACCTCCACTTTTAATGCTTCTTTTCTACCCCAGACCTCAATTGAGTGGAATTTCCTTCCCGCACATATAGTCTCAATAACTATCACTGTTGATTTAAAAAAAGTTATTACCAACTTTTTAACATATGTTATGTAATGCGTGTTTTTTGCCTCACTCAATTATGTTTCTTCTATGTGTTAACCACCCACTCCCGTCTGTAATGCCTTAGGGCCCTGGCGGAATATTAAATGAAATAAAATGAAATGAAAGTATTTAATGCATTTAACGACTACTTCGCAAATATCGACACCAACATAACGTATCTTCCGTACACGAATTGATCCACTGTGACAACAAATATTAACCTAAATGACAAGATGCCTTTCTTCATCGCGTGAGTCCAAAGAAAAGATCTGAAATATTTAACGCACTAAAGTACTTCTTCGTTGGGTTGCGACAAAATACAGGTGATACAACTGAAAACAGTGCTCTAACATCACAAAACCATTGAGTGATGTCATCAATAAACGTTTTGATATAAGCCCTAACCGATTCAATCAAAATAGCCGAATTAACCCCGGTATTTAAGAAAAGACAAATTAATACCACAGAACTCCTGACCTATTGCTATACATCATGTTCTCACAGAAGTAATTGAAAAGCAACTGATTGTCCTTACGTATGTCTGTATTTTTTCGTCCTCTTTCGGTTCGAGCCTTTTAACCTTTTAAACCATCTGCACGAACGATCCCCGACCAAAGTTTTATTGGAACTGAGCAAATGTCTCACTGAAAACATTCTAATTGCTTCAGGGCTATATTGATATATAAAAATATCAACAAAGTGAGCGATAATAAAAATAATAAAAATTACAAAATATAAAAAGGTTTATTTGCAATGGGAATTCTCGTAGGCCTATCCAAATTGTTTGACCTACATACACAGAACGTTTTACCACTGAAAGTAAGCACATACTAAATATGAGATTTACCCCTGCATCTAACGAAAAGTTTCATCACTAATAGACATCCATTTGTCAATTTATCAGGCACAGTACCAACAACACAATCTATTACGATCGGAGATTCCGAAAGCTCAATTCATGGTTCCTATTTTTTTGTAACATTTACAAATAACCTCGATAATTCAGAACAAAAATATTGCGGTCATGCCGATTATATTATTTTTTTTTAATTTAGTGCTAGCGTTTTACAGAAGAGCCTAACGAAGCCAACCGTAGTTTAGAAACACCTAGCAAATGGACTCGCTGATAACATTAATTCTGAACATAGCAGAAACAAAATATATATTTTTGATCTGCGAAAAAAAAATTCATATTCAGCACATTCCAATTGTCCTTTAAAAGTGTAAACTTTATTCGAGTCCACCATGCGTAATGCTTAGGACTTACCCTAGACCATCAACTGACATGTCATCAAAGCGTGGCAAAAAAAAGAAATGAGATGAAAAGGGTAGAAAAAGACACGTGTCAAGCGCAGCTATATAGAAATATTCAAAATGTATCAAAATTGCAAAATACATTTTTTCTAAAAAGACCCTCAGAACTCATTGTTAATTCAGACTCATAATTGTACGGATTATCTGTTTAAACACAGACATACAAAACAACACTAAAATCCATAGAAACTGCCAGAATACAGCACATCTAGGTTCAAACACATCGGGGCGCCCTGCTGCGATGTGTTTGAACCTCGCCACGCAGAACCCAATCTTGGAAGCTGCGCCGCTAGTGGGCTACAAGTTCCGTCACTCTTCGCATTTTATTCGAAACCGATGTACGTACGCAGAAACTGTCTTTTTGCCTTGTTCTTCTTTGTTTGTCCTTTTCTTTCTTAACTGTTAGAATAATTTCTTCTTTTAATATTGCGTTATAATTGTATAGTGTCTTTTTCCTCGCTTTTCAATTGGTTTAAAATATTTGTCTATCACCTCAGTACCACAATAGCTCCTTTTCTTTGTGCAACTTTGCTCTCGTTTATTTATAATGTGGTTTCTTTAATTGATAGTAAATGTTGGTGTAACTTCTGATCGCTTACAAATAATGCATTTATACTTTTTGTTAGCATTAGGAGGACTGCTAGAAACTTATGTCTTAACCACTTTTTAAAAAAAGCTGGACTTGAATTTACCTTCACCGGAAAACACGTGTTACGAAACTGTAGCAAAACGAAAACAAGTGCCCGCGCAGCATTGCGGGATTGCAGCGCTGTGTAAACTATGCTTGATTTGAGACTTAGCACCTTAGCTACCAGTGCACAAAAAAGAACGGAATAATTGCATCGTTAATACGTCATATAGTTTACTATACTCTCGCCTTTGTACGTTTTGATCTGGATTATCACTGTAGCAACGTGCGGCTGTGTAAATACATTTGCATGGTAGACGGCAAAGTCCTCAGGTTTTCAGGGCCACTGCAGTCGCCACGTTGCATATCTACCGAGGAGGCACCATACGCCATCTTCAGGCAAACTAATATTCCTCGGTCTAAAGTACCTCACAGAGAGATTGACTTCAACATAGAAATGACACGGAAACACAATCGACAAGGACAAGATTAGAGGAAATAAATAGGATGAGCGCATTTTTCCTTGAATCTTCTTCGATGTCCTCGTTTATTGCGGTATTTGTGTTCTAGTTCTGCTTGTACTTTTAGCCCGATACAATCTGAGCACATCTAATTCACGTCAGTACTCACCGAATAGTGGCACAAGAAGGAACGCCACGCTCAGCGTCGCTGCTAATCTCATAACTTACCGTTTTCCCAAATTGCTGGGACAAGAGCTGTGTTTCCACACCTTTTATCCATGTCGTTGGCGGCTCAAGTTGCATTGTTTCTTTGTCGCCCTAAAATTACAGCTCCTGCAGAGTCCTACAGCTGTGGGGCTCGCCCTAAGTCCCCTATATTAGAACCCAACGCTGGAAAACAAAGGAGGCGAGGCAAAGAGTTGCTACATTACACCGCGTTTATTTAGGAGTGTTTACCGAGACAAGTGCGTCATCTAAAAGTCGGCGCCTGGAAAGAAACAAGTTCAGAGAACGCTCGCTCTGCCTATCTAGAGGCTCCACCCTTTATTTATTTGCCACGGTTTCAAATTAATTGCGATCGCGCATCCTGTAACAATTTTTAGGCTTAACGGTTTCATCCCAGTGCAGATAGGAACCAGGAAAACCGAAATTTAATACAAAAATTTACCTGCATACGACGTAACCACTTTATGAATTGTATTGATTATTAAAACAACGCTTTGCGATGTATTAGTAAATAGCAGTGTATACCTAATAGAGGGCCGTTCCACCTGATATTGTGTATCTGTGTGTGAACCGCTCCTTTTCCTTATAATTTGTTTGCTTGATTAAACTTATGAGTTGAAACTGTTGCATTATTCTGGTTGTTAGCTACCTGCCGCGTCCGACGCACAAGCCTTATTGGATTATATGGGTAAAAAGCGAAATGTATTAAAAAATAAAAAAAAATTGTATTTTATGGTATTGCTTGCGGGAACCTCGGGTGGAGCCTTCGGTTTTTAATGACAGCTTAAGAAATACAGTGCGTGGTGAGTACCCGTACATGTCATTATTTCGAAGCAGCCAATCACATTGCAGCATTATCTGATAAAAACGGCAGAAAAGGAACCACGAATTAAGAAACATAAAGATGATAGGCCACGCCCTGCTCTACTTAAGCTGTCACTGCAACCGTTTTGCACGTTGGTGCGTTGCCAAATTGCCCCAAAGGCAGGCGTCTCCTAACGAGCGATACTGCTCAGCCCTCACCAAAGTAGCTTTCTTTATATGAAAACTAAACAGGGTACTTGATGACATCTTTAATATTTTAGGATTGTGAAGGGTCTAGGGAATGCTGATGGTAGTGAGAAGTGCAGAGCGTTCGGCGAAGGGAGCGTGCGTGTGTTATTTTCGACGAGGTTATCGAGAGTATTTACAGCTTATAGACACCTACGTCTCATCCACAATCTGTTAAAAATGAGTAAAAGCATGATAATGTTTGAAACAAAACCTTCTGAAAAACTCTCAAGCAACTATGTAAATAGTGGTAACGCTAAAAAGAAACGCATTTATTATTTGTTTTAGAGTAAGGACACGTTATTTAAGTGTTCTCGTGGTTAGTCAACTCATAAAATAAAACAGAGTGGAATTGGGGAAATAGAAGTGCAGCCGAAAAGCAAAATTTTGGGGTCGGCAAACGTTACAAGAATCATCAAAAAGTTAGAATTTCACTCTCTTCAGGTGTCGACAACATAAGCTCGGAGTCTCTAATTATTGTTAAAATTTAGCTATCTAATGCTTGCTAAACGTTTTTAGCAAATCTGCGATACAGGTTGCATTCCCGAACATTGGAGGGCCGGGAGGGTCATTCCTTTGCTCAAACTGGCTGACGCATTGTCCTTATAACTTTTCACCCATGTCACTCATCAGTATTCCGAGCAAACTCGCTAAACATGTATTTACTCCCATCTCGCGAGATTCTTAGAGTTTATTACCTTTTTATTCCCAGCATATATATATTTCGCAGGTCATTTTTATTCAAGATTCAGCTTTTGTGTTTCACAGAAATTCGACATTCCATTTTTTACCGTGTATCACAAACGAACTACATACTTAAGGATTTTTAAAGGCCTTCGTCATGAATAAACTTGTGTCTTGCTTCGTGTTAGGAAAGCTCAAGACATTCCCGTTAAGCCACCCAGTGTGTTTTGTCTCACTTGGTACATAACAACAACGCAAAAGAATGGTTGGTCCTCGTAATGCGAACAGCCGCTTGCGAGGTGATTGCCAATAAACGATGTCGAAAACAATTAGGGTGGAGATACATAGTTACGTTTGAAACGCATTTGACTGCGTTGCGTCGACCAGTGACCACGAGTCATCGGGTCATAAAGTGTTTTGTGTGAAGCGTGCCAACGAATTCAATGAGTGGCTTGGCAAGCAGCTTTTGATATAGGAACGTCCTGGCTAGTCAAAATTGTAATGTGGTACAACTGCTTCAACGCTATGAAAGCAGAAAACGCCACTACAACGCGACTGGCCAGCTGCGCTCATGACGACTAAATTCTACCGAAACCGAAGGTTCTTTGTCGACGTCAGTTCGTTTTAGGTGCGGTTGTATGGCGGGAAAACAAACGTTGATTTCGGTTTCGTTTATTTATTTTGTGCAAACTGTTAAGCTTTGTAGAATTGTATAAAAATATTGAGCATATTGCTAGGTCCCTACAAAGTAGAAAAAAAACACTATTTTCAATAAAGAAAATTAAAATCGCTTTAATGGTCACTTTAAGGGGTATCCACTAGAGGTATTATTTCCGGGGAGGGACAGGCGAAACCAGCGGTGCTCTCTTCCTGACTCAGATGTTCACACAAAATACGGGTAACCGAGGGGGATATCAGTTTTATCAGATGCATTTACCGGTCGCATTCTCGACAACGGGGTGACCGGGCTCGGTGGACGCTGTCGAAAGTAGATAAATAGGGGCGTACATAAAACGGCAATATGTCATTATGACAGCAGCGCTGTTAGAAGCAGAAAAGGATAAACTGCTTCCTGCAAAAACTATATTTATATTTGCCTCCTGAATGCGTGGATTCAACACAAAAAACGTAGAATCCGAAACCAGCTATATGAGGATTGGCTTCCGGACGGAATCGATGAATATGGAAGACTCCTTCAGGTGCCTCCGACGGCATGCGCAACAGCGCAAGTCGCAACACGTTAAGCCATATGAGGATTTTTTTTCCTCGCGCCTAAGACGCGTCGGCGTCTTCCGGCGTCGTAGCACGTCGCTTGAGGTCACACACGACAATGATACGCGCGCCAGGCGCCGATGTCTGCCTCGACCTAGAGCACTATATAGCTCCTACGAAGCAGAGTAGCGCAATCCTTTGATCCGCATGTTTCGCCGACAACATGGCCGACAGAGCGGCTCGGCGCGAGTCACGTGATGCTCAGGGTTCCAGGAGGCGGCCCGTCCTATGGGAGAATACATGGAGAGCGACTCAACACGGCTGATTAAAAAATAAACGCCGAGTTCACACTTCTCGAAACTAGTCTGTCGTGAAGTTGGTAAAGCACCAAACACTTTATCAAAGTTTTAATAATATTGTATATGTGTGAAAATTGTGAGGAGGCAATTTCCAAGGCAATGGCGTTTGAAGCAGAGAATTGTTATACGCAGGGGAGATGCGCTTTATGGATTGGCCGGAGCGGGTCACGTGAATGGTGTGACGTCGCCGCGTCGTCTGCTGCATGATGATGCTCAGGCAGTTTTTAAAACAAATTACGTTATGACATGGCACACAACGTGGCGCAAATTATTGCAAACTGTTCCTTTATTATGTCCAAAAATATTGTCGTTCTGTACATCCCCAAAATATTCAAGAAACAGCGATTTTCTCGCGTTCTCCATGCATTTGTGACTGGAGTTGGAACCCCCGGGCGTTCGCTGCTAGTCGCCGAGAGAGGGCGTTCTGGATTGCGCTACTCCGCTCCGAAGCAGCTATATAGTGCTCTACCTCGACCAAGCCTCGGCGTCGCGCCGGAAGTGGCTTGCCAGGCAGCAACCACTCAGAGTCATACGGGACGGAAGTGAAGCCGGTAGCTCCCGGCGCGCCCTCTGAAGCATCCAGTTGTCATTCTACACGCAGATGCATGCAGACGCGTGCAGCAAGATGCACGAGAGTCTTGGGATTGAAATGTAAGCATCTTTAACGCAAAAAAAAAAAGAAAGCTTCCTAAGCGTTAAATAAATTGCTTTGTGCAGCGCTAATACACTGTAAAAAGGTTGCTGTCGCCGCTTATATGATGATTTAGGCCCAGTCAATCTGGCGACACTGCACAGCGCCCGACCAGACCGACGCGGGTTAGCGCGCGGCCCCATGGGGTTGCTCGTCCCTTCTCCCGTTAGTTGCCGCTGACGCGGAGAGACGCGGACGCCGACAAAACGCGTCCTTGGGGTTCGGCCTAAGGCGATCCGGATGCAACCGCCAGATTCCCGCTCAGGAAAAAGTTGCCAAACAGAGGAACAAAATACTGCCAATTGCGAAGAGATCACACGCTAAGGCCGAAACTGTTTGTGCAGCATCCCGTCAATCGCGCTCGTTAAACTCCATCTGCCAGTGATCAATGGTCCGTGTAATACTGCCTTACTCCACCACGAGAATTTACTGCATGCGGTGGAGTGGTTCTCTTATATTTAGGAGTCTATGACGTGCATTTTCTAGAGGTGCCTTTTTGTTAGGGTGACCATATTTCTCAAGGTAGAAAACGGGTGGGGGGGGGGGGGGGTAATAAAGTTTGAGTTTGGGAGAAAACATTGAATGAAATAACTGCTCACAGTTTAGTTGCATGCACTCATGCACTCATTTGGAAGGTCCTGCTTCGGGTCCTTCGTCGGTGTGGGCGTATTTTGCCGCACAAGTAGCATTGCTCGCAACGTTGAGACAAGAAGGCGAGACTTCTCGCTTGTCCACATGGAGTCCATAATTGAAAAGACGCGCTCCACTGCAGCCGTCGTTCCAGGGAAGCACAGAGCCAGTTCCACAACCCGGGAAATCCCGGCGCAGCATACATTTTCTGTTTTCATCTCTTTAAAGACTTCCCCTCATCTCTCAGAGACTGTAATACCTGAAGAGTTCCAATCTTCTAGTTTCTTTTCAATGCTTTTCTTGACAAGGGTCCACTGGTGAAATAGTGCCTCTTCAAAGTCTTCTTTTGTTGTAAGCTCAAGGAATGACA